AACACAATATACCGCAAAGTGATCACATACATCCCTTGTGAATATAACACACTAGAACAGCACAGTAATCACATAAATCCCTTATGCATATAACACAATATAACTGCACAGTTGTCACATAATTCCCTTATGAATCTTACACAATATACTGCACAGTAGTCACATAAATCCCTTATGAATCTAACACAATATACTGCACAGTGAGCACATAAATCCAGTATCAATCTAGCACAATATAACTCCACAGTAACACAAGTTCTTTATAAACGGTATCCAGTTCCAGGGTTACACGATAATCCAGTGGAATACACAAAAAACATCCAGAGGCACTGCTGACACTTCTCTATTCTCCACGCAAGTTATAAGAATTACCCTATTCCAGACTGACACTTCACATGTACACGTTAAACCAAATCTGGTGGTAATTCTAAGTGGTTTCTGCCTAACACTTGTATGGGGTGAATCTCTACAGGTTGTCGTTCTAGAAATCAGGCATGACTAAGTGGTGATTTTATGATCGCTGCCGTCACTCCTGTGACCACTGACACTACAGCTAAAAATCACCACCCTCCATGCCTGAGGATGAGATAAGGAGTTAATAAGGTCTAAACAAATAATTTAGTTGATTAATAAAGTTGGGAAATTAGTAACTATACACAGTTAGTTAAGACCCAAGATAACGAAGTAAGATATAAATCTTCAAGGTAGGAAAATCCCCCGAAATTATGAAACACTTATATAAGGTAATATTACAGTAATAAGCACTTATCTAAACAAATGGTAAGACATACTATGTATTTACCCAACTGCCTGATAGTCCGGCTTGAGTCATCTTCGTTTAACAAGCCGCTATCTATAATAGGTAATGATGTGTATAATCCAATCTGTATCGTGTGAAATTCCTTATCTAAACAAGCCCTAGGGAGCCGCGCACCTCTTTTTAAACGACCCTCATTAACACCTATTGACCAATCAAATTGGGTTCCATCGGCCTGGGTCCCGGATGAAAGGAGGGGGTAGCTGCACTATTGAGTGGCTACTCTGTCCCCCCTACTCATGACGTAGAGATTCCTATTTTTAACAGACAGTGGTCAGTCTAGGGTTAATGGCTCCTATACTATCTCAACTGTGTGGCTGGGAGGACTCGATGAACCCCAGTAAATTACACATGAATTGTGAAACACAATTATGGTGGGCTGGAAGCTTACGTCAGCTAGGAAATAAAGACGGGGTATAACTTTGTTACACTACTTAAGATAAAGACAAAATAAAGTGATCAGTATTTAAATTCTTCCTTATTTTACACGAGTGTTCTGGTATTTAACGATCGTTAAATTGGTCGATTCTGACCACACCTTGTGTAAGATAAGCGCATCGTGTGCGCACTGTATTATTGGCACGTTGTCACATGAACCTTTTTTTTCACTCTAAGATATATATCAATGCTGCAGCCGAATTTCCTTTAGTATTATTCGTAACATGTATACATCTGATTCATATATTGTAATATTTGACTACATTTAAAACATATTTATATTAAAAACCATAGAAATTCCAAGTCCACCTAAGATTTTGCCAGTTGACTGTGGAAAGCCAATGTCTGCCGAAGTATCGTGGAAAGACGGTGGACACTCCCAGTTTTACCATGTTTTATTCAGCGTGGATGCCTTTAAAAATTCAATAGAAGTGTATACCGTGCCAATTGCCTTTAAAGACGGAAAGAACATGTATAATGTATATGTAGACAATTTGATGGCAGGACGACTATATACATTTAAGATTGCAGCATACAACACCGACGGAAATACAACATCACGTGATGCTGTTGGGTGTACAATTCAGGGCGGTAAGTTACTTACAATCACCTTCTTTTGTTACGCTGTTAAAGGTTATTATATTAGCAATGTGAAGAGATTATGTTTGGATGCTGTGTACAGCATTCATAGCGGTTCTCGTCAAGCCTGGCCAAATCAAAACCAAACAACATAATTTCCTCTTCCGCGTAAGATCGTTAAATGCGGTGTTTATTATTTCATGGTATTATTAATGGTATAAAATGTTGAAATACATATGAAAACGATAAACAAATCAAAGAAAAAATGTAAAAAAAATGACGAAAAGGCGAGTTTTTTCAGTGAGCATCATGAACTATATCAATCTCAGATTACTACGCTTTTTGGAACGAATAATTTCTTCACAAAAAAAACACAAACAACACTTTATCTCCTTCCGCGATCTTTAGATAATGTGTTCAGTATTGAATGATATGATCAATGCTATAATATGGTAAAAGATATCTGTATAAGACAAAATAAATCAAAGAAAATATGTAAGGATCTTTAACAGCGGCGTTTTCAATCAGTGGAGGTTCCGAACTATATTTGGTTCGAATTACTACGCCTCGTATGCCAATACTCAAAAGTGTGTGTGTACGAGCTTTCTCCCTTTGTCCATCATTGCGTAGTTTCATGCTCGCAACTTGTTGAACGACTGTTTGATAACTGTCCTTGATAAAGTAGGCTTCGTGTTTTCTTTGTCTCAATGGAAAGTCTCCAAGTGACTCAAAAATATGTTATTCACTGCCATTCTGTACTGATATACCACCGCCTTTATTCCAGTATTTGAATACTCCATACACAGCATTCCTGAGTGACCTCGGCACTTTGATTGTATATTATATTTTGTATGTCAAGCGTTTGAAGCATTTAAGCTTGATGCCAAGACTTTCCATTAGACTGTTGGCATCCCAGTTACAACAAGTTTTGCCTTTCTCCTGACGGACCCTTTCTCTCCCTTTTTCCTCTTTAATTGGTATGAGTCTTAATTTATTGAAAAGCTCACCACGACTGGCAAAAGCAATCTTGCTATTTCCACCAGTTTTTCAATAGCTCATGAGTTGGTTTAAACAACATGAGTTCATATGATTAGATGACGATTTCTCATTGACAAATTGACAAAATAAGGATTCGAGAGAACCAGTTTAGAATGCAGGCTCCTTATTTGGTTTATTTTGCAATCTTATTAAATTAATATGCCATGCTATGGTATGATGGTCGATGCTTTTAATTATGCTCACCTTGATGTTTCTTTGTCGTTATTTTTTGTCTTACTTTTAAATTACTTGGCTTTGACCTAGACTTACACGGCAGGTATCGTAAGTAAGAAGAAGACGCTCACCTTTCCAGAACACATTGTATTCTTCTTCTTAAGTTATGGATTGTATCTTTATCATACAAATATTTCCACTGCTTATATGTTGCCCTTATATTATCACTGTTGAGTTCGAACGACTTAAATGCATGTCACTTTTTAGTTCACTGTTTGATGACAACAGTTCACTTAATGGATGAGGTAATTTATTATCATATATTGATTGGTTTATACATAAATACAGATACTACTGTTTGTTTAATAAAGAATGTTCCTGCGGTAACGACAACATGTATGTAACAGGAGTTGCCCTGATTTGTACCGGCGTTATCACGCTCCTGTTAACAGTTGGACTTGGAATATTCATCAGTCGTACGTACATATTACTCAAATCTTTAAAAAAATATATCAAACAAAAAGAAGAGAAAAAAATAAAATTGCAAAAATCAATTATGAGTTTTATCTACATTTGATATTGATCAATTATTATTATTAGTTCTGTCTGTTTGTCTATATCACGGATTGAACATACTCAAGACAACTGAATTACTTAAATGTACGTTCGTTATCTGTTAACGTAAAACAAGCATACACTACTTTTAACATCTACCTCTGTTATTTTACAGGAAATGGTAGACTGCCTTTTATGTAAGTAAATTAATACTGCCACCAAATTGACAGATATCCTATTTTAGTGTTTAATAGTTATTTCATCTTTTCGTAAATATCTTGTTTATATTAATGCTAATGCAATGTTGCCAAAATCAGTTATGTTTGAAAAGCGTGCTTTATTAAAATCATCGTACTATGTTCAGAATTTCTTTTCCGAAATGTGATGTATATTGTGAAGTAATAGCTGTGAATTGAAAATATAAAGGAATTTTGTATATATTATTTTCTAGCAAAGGCCAGCATCTGAAACAAAGGGAGTTTCAGAACGTACAACTTTCAGAACGAGGTAATTTCGGTGAAAAAACGCTTGATACTCTTGTACTTGTTGTTTTAATGATAATATCCAACATCAAAAAGTTCTTCTCTTCATACAGTTCTTCATGTTGTGTTAATTTCGCCATGTCGGTCAAGTTGTATACAATGCAATACAAAACAATAAAATATCCAAGGCTATATATATATATAGCAATCGTTTATTTTTACAAAAGTAAAAAGGATTTTTTATTAAATTATAAAATGTCTGTTTCAGCTGTGACATCCAATAAGGAGGAGGACGAACGGTAATCTTGTTTGAACATTCAACACTTATTTAAAACAACATTTTAGAGTTATGGTTTGGTTTTATTTGATTCAAAGTCAATTGTACAACTTACTGAGAAACCATGCCGAATGAACCAGACACAGCATTCCGCCCAGTCACATTATATTGGCAACGGGTATACTAGGTGTTGCCATTTCCCTAAATGCTGAACGTTAAGCAGGTAATAACAATATCATTTTTAAGGACTTTAGTATGTCCCAATTCTGCAGTGGGTTTCAAAATTAGTCGCCTCGTACGATACATACAGTGGTCAGCAACAGGTGTATTCTTTTACAATTAGTGCAGACATATCTTGATCGATTTTGTGTCCTTATGTATAGGGCACAAAAACAAACCCCCAATTCTGCAGTGGGTTTCCACATTAATCGCATCTTACGATGCATGCAACAGGTAACAGCAAGTCCATTATTTCTCGACCAGCGACCTGCAGGGTTGTAGTGTTATAGTGTGTAACTGTTAAATAGTAATGTTTATTTTAACTGATAAATAGTTATGATTGAAAACAAATTATTACATCGTGTTATTGTGTTTTATTCTATATCTTCACAGATCTCCATATGAACAACTCGATACGAATAAAATTACCAAGGCGTCTGTGTACTCTGAAATAGGAAGTCATCAGCCAGGTAAAACACGCAATAGTGATCATTTTCTATATTATGGCCTACAAAAGAAACGTTAAATGTTTGTAGTGATAATGTTTCTTAAATGTATAGGAAATGCTATAAATGTGTAGCCGGGTGCAGGTGCAACACATATTTCTAACACATCGCGAAGAGCAAATTTCCATTCACACAATCATTTATTGGAGTCAAAAGACCCTGCAATAGCACAAATAAAACATATAAGCACATGAACAATACAAAAAATATCTACATTATACAATGTACATCAGCTTGACTTTACATAAAAATACACGATGCCCGTACCGGTTGCAATTAACATTACGAATTTAATACAATACATTTGAAATACTTCTACATGACAAATTATAAAATTTACCAATTTTGCACATCAACTATGATTAATGCGAGATAATGTAATATTGCCTTATATTAAAATGCCTACCATATCGCTCTGACAGGGGTCTACTAATGATATCTACGTATAATGTACGTTGCCTACATAATAGGCATATGGTTCCATTGAAAAGAAAATAACAAAACTTAATAAATAGTAAGCATGTTTAGCAAATTACTTTTAAAATACTTTAGTAAATTACAGTTTCCATAAAAAAAGATTATGGAAACCACACCCAAAATTACGTTTATCAAAGAAAGATATTTTAACTTCGTCAAATATTTTTAGAAATGCAAACATACTAATTCCATAAAAGGTTACCCTAAAATGTAATATTTCAAATAGCTCAATACTAATATATTTCAAACACTTACTCGGAAATAAGTAGAATTCTGTTCACCGCAATCGGTATAATGTATGTCGGTATTGACTATATATGTCTCTAGTATGTCTGGTCTGGTCACTGTCCAGTGCGGGAATGAAGATGCAAGACGTACAAGTGCACGAGTTGACATGCGATCACGTGACAAGACATTTACATAACAAAACAGCACAGGTAACAAACACTTAAGACACACGTTGACCAGACAGACCGGTTGGACCAGTACGAGAATCAGTATATAAAAAAAAAAATAGTTAAGTGCGTCAGACATACGTACAACTTAAGCATTCTCACTAAGACAATCCTGTATAGTTTAATAATTTGGATAAAGCTCATATTATAAAATAAACTAAAAATAGTACTGCCACAAATTCACACTGTAAAAATCAATATATGTTGTGTCAAATAGATTAACTTCAGTTTCATTTAAATGTCTCCATGAAACGACAAAACCATGGCTTATTTAGCGTACGTACAAATCAAGTTCACAGAATCAATAATCGCGTAAACGAACCCCTGGGCGTTGACCAAAACCTGAAAACTACGTCGCATGGAAGCGATTAGTCGATTCAAAGACCTCATCGGGAACTTCTGCCACAGTTCCTGTAGACCCGTCCTCCAATGTTACAACGTTTTAGGCCGCTGACATCGTTTTCTCACTCAATCGTAAAACTGATTCCTGCTCAGTGGTGTTGAAACCTGAAAATAACGATGGCCACTCAGACACATTGATGGTCTGTTGACGAATACATCTGGGGGCCAATACATCTGGGCTTTATTAACTTTACAATTATGAAACACGTCTAATCAATTTATACTAGATATCTTGTTGGTCCTGATATAGATACCAATGTTTTTTAACTGTTGGAGGAAAATGAAGTATTGTTTCACTTGTGTATGAGCAGAGTGTATTCGGGTTTTTTATGCATTGACAAAAAAATATCAAAAAAACTTTGTTATTTACATACAAATGAATGTTTCTTGGGGATAAGGTAACTTTTTTATGTTGCTTGTTTTGTAGGTCGTCGGAAAGATCCAGTCAATGACAAGTGAGTGTGTATTATCAAATTCGTTTAATTAGCATGACTTGTAAACCCTTTTTATATATTTTTGTCACATCATTTAGTGTCTTCCAACGATTCGTGCTGGCAGATTGTCGATGGTGCATAGTTAATAAGGTGTTTTATTTTTGTTTTAGCAGAGAATGCGAGTCATTGGAGGGTCGGTCGAATCCAAACGTATATGAAGAGCTCCATGGTACACCATCTGGTGCGTATCGATATCGTCTTTCAGATAATGGATACATGAAACATAATCCGAATATTGCACAATTTTTAACATAGCTTTGCAATTATACTGATTAACATCAAAAGACATTAGATGGTTCCTTAATATTCTTATTTCAGAAGATAACGCTTATTGTATAATATTTGTTTTTGTCCGTTATTTCTAATGGGTCTTTTATTTGATAGTTTCCTCATTCAGAATTATATTGCATTCATTCATATAAAATGCATATATTTTGGGTACAAACAATTAGGTGAAAAGTAGAATCAGGACATACAAATAGACATTGTGTATATGAAAAATCTTGTTTAAGATTGTTGGGGATAGGTGCTACATGTACACGCTAATCCCGTTCATATCACAAAACTAGAAGCCAACATTAATAATAACATGTTCATCATTATTTTTAGGTGATAAACAGATATACATCAACACCGCAATTGCCGAGGGGTGTTTTGGCTCCGGGAATTAATCCATCTGGTTCACAAGAACTCGTAATAATGAATAGCCAGAGGAAGCTTCAATTAATACGTAAGCTTTCCAAAAGGTTTCTATTGGACTAAACCTATCAACCGTAGACCGGAAATGTTATGAATAATAATCAATCTATATTAGTCATATATCATTGTGCTTGTTATAATTATGGATGTATACAGTTGTGTGATTGCACAACGCACCAAAATAACCGTGAACACATCTTGTGCACAATTTGACAATGAGCATGTCAGCAGCCCTTACTTCTCCTCTGCACCTGTGTCAGTCCGGGCATAAGTATTGGACATGCATACTTGGATGATTTTATTGGGTATTCAGTCGTTACAGTATGACGGAATTATTTCGTTTTCCAATGCACTGCTTAATTTACGAGCTATTTCCAAAAACAGAGAAAGATATCTACACGTTTGAATGACTAAAATTAATAGTGTGTTACTTGGTAGGTTCATATTGTATTCCGCTCCAAAATGTTAATGATACAAACACTTTGTGTTTTCAGCAATATATATTTAGAGGTTGACCGCAGATAGAGGTGCTAATCTACTATTTCTTGTTATTTATATCTATAATAACAAGTGGATTTTCCTAAATACACGACATTGGTAGGATTGTCACCCATTTACGGGTTTATCAGTCGCCAGATAACAGCCAGACAATTAGGCGAAAACGCTAGCAAGTATGTTTATGGTTTATTCATTTATTATTCCATTTTACAGATCACACAGGCACTATGTTATGCATTTCTCTCTCTATGTATATCCTTTACGACGAACCCTCTATACATTTTACTGTAAATACATGTATGCCCTGAATGATATTATTGCATGTATATGATGCAACTGGTACTTTTTTTAGAAATTGTAGGCTAGCAATTTGGCGAAATTTTCAGATTGTTTTCATTGAAACATGTGGAGGCCGCGGTTAAATGAATACTTACTCATAGGGCGAGTACATTTTGCAATAGGTATTTTCTTTTTAAATTGCAAGATTTTTTTGAAATCCTATTTGTAAAAGAATATGTAATTTAATAGTCTAGTATGAGATATGTGTGCAGTCACTTCATTCTGTTTGGAGTAGTAAATTACATGTCTACTACGGGACAACTTAAAAATGAGACCACATGATGCCACATCTACGCATATAAAGGGATTATACACGAATCATTCGTCACTCAAACATATGTGTTTATACGGTTTTTGCATGTAAAAGTTTTGCATTTTTATACAAGCGTATTGCTTTATTTCAAACGTATGTTGTATGTTATACAACATACGTAGTATTGCAACAGAAATCAATATTCTGATTATTTGTTAAATTTGTATGTTTCCATGTATATAATATAGTATTTTAGAACATGTGATGTTTGCTAAACTATTGTATAGATTCATTTTGTTACTAATTGATTGAGATTGTATTGAAATAGTATTGTTGTACCAGTTTTTGACAATTAAGTACTTTAACTAACTAACAATTTTAGCTCGCATCATTCTATTCTTTTTTGTGTGTTTAACAAATGTTTGTATCAAAAGACCCACATGAAACTGCTCGTGTAACAATCGTGGTTTTAAATATCGTAGTGCTACCCTTCAAGTATCTATAATCAAATGAATAATGCATGGATGTACTTCAACTGGCTAGTAGTTACGTTATATATATGTAATGCTTAAAAGACCCACCCAACCCGTTATGCGCCAATCTTCTTTGCCTTATTGATATACCAGCGTGGTGTTTGATTATGTTTTTTAATGATTTACTGAATTTGTATCATGTGAACTTGAATATCATGTAATGTCGTTCAGTTAAACATACTTCGCACCAACTTACGCCACCATAGTACTGTATTTACCAGATTTCATTAACGTAGGACATATGATTATTCAGGAGAAGAGGTTCGAAAACATAATATATTTAGGATTAATTAATCTGAATCAACTTGCTAATCCTTCAATCGAGCATGCGTATGGCTAGATAGCATCCTTGTTGGTCTAGGTATTCAGAATACGTTGTTTGAAATCATTAAAAATAGCACAGATGAACATGAATGTGCCTGAAGGTCAACCATTTAAACGAATTTTGAATTCCTTCATCACAACACGCTACTAGCTAGATATAATGGCCCTAACATTCTTAAAACATGAGAAGAACATGTTATACCAATGCAAACAAAATACATTATTTGATCACTGCCGTTTAGCAAGAAAATTAAGCATTGTATCACGTAGCCACCAATTATGATTAAGGACCATATGGTCAATTGATCCCTTCTTTGAATATGTTCGATCTCATATTTTGAAAGAAGTTGTTATAGGGGCATCACGCTGAAGTAACTATGTTTTTGTGTCTTTTTTTCAAATACTTCATAAACATATCAAGTGAGATTCCTTATGGAAAATAACGATCGGATTTGGCTGATATAGATTCATAAACATGATTTAATCTAAGATAATCATCGGTATTTCTACCTATCTGACTAACGTTTTGTTCAGGGATTTCCCTCTACTAGCGCATGCGCATTGCACACCATTTCTTTGTAAACAAAATGACTGGCCGTGTGAAGTAAGCCAAAGAAAAATGTTGTACCGTGTCAGCTACGAAGCGAAAAGTTGTCAAATGGTCAAAAGATAGCGCAAGGAGTACGTTACGAAATCATTATTACAGGTGTGAAGTATTCAAAGGAGAAAATAACTGTCCTAGCAATTAGTACGATACATGTATTCTTCCGGATAGCCGGTTAAGCTGAAATGGAGTCGACAGAAATGCTAGCGCTGTTTATGTTATTTATAAATATCTAAAACTATTAACCTCGCTAGTATCTTTGTCTGAGTTTGATCACGTATGAACTTAGTTTAATATGTCAATGGGCATGTATCGGAGAGAGTTTACTTTGTGTTTCTATAATTATACAGTGGTTTATGCGAAAGGAAGGGATAAATGACTGGTTAGTTTGATTTTGTCATGAGGCCCCCCAAGGGTTAACTGTTTTGATAGCCACGGCGTATTCTGTCTTTGTCGTTACTCGTGATCAGGGTCAAATGAGATACGTGCGCTTTTAGATTTACATAATTTATAATATTACCTGGTTCAGTAAAATGGTATGATTTAATTATATTGCTGAATTAAACGATTTTTTGTTTGTTTTTGCATACAAGATTTAAATTAGTACTAATATAAATACCCGGCTTCCTCTGGCGCGACGACACAATATATATAAAAAAAATCTCTCGTCGTCAGAAAGCAACATAATCGCAGCTTGATTAAAAATGTCAAAATGACGGGCCAGGATGAATAACTGAGGAAGGAGAACCTACTTCTAGTAAATAGGATCGCGTACTTTTTTTTAAACCGTATTTTTTCAACAGTTCATGTTTTCATATGTTGTTGACTTAGAATGTATGATCATGTAACAACCTTTTCTCTATAAAGAATGAATTTCGACTTCAGATAGATTCGGAATACGTATTTAAAACATGGGAAGAAACATTTGTTTACGTTGTAAAAATGACGCGTGCTGCCAACAACTACGGCTTCTGTTTCGGACAACAGTGAAATGATTAAAGAAAAGTTGGCTCAACATAAAAAAGGGTCGATTGACAAGAATACTTTAATCTATGAAAAGTATCGAAAAAAACAATTATCAAGTATCTCAACACGTCCCATATCGGACACATATTCTACATGTACACGTAGTGGTTTTGCCATACAGTTTAGTGTGTGTGATGGCTAATACGACTTACTAAGTGATAGCGTATGGAGACAGTGAAAGTGAGAAAGGGAGTATACATACATTTATATGCATGATCTAGAAAAATATTTGGCAAAAGATATTGAGTTGTACAATTTAATAAAAAAAATCACAAACGTTTCTCTTTGTTATAGGCGTGTAGTTTGTCATTGCATATATGCACTTTATGAAAACATTTGAACAGGGATATTCGTCTCGTGAATATTCCTTTTTCAGAAAGGTTTGTACCATGGTGTAGGGAAGGTATTTAGCCCCGTACAGTTGTCAGATTCCGGTACTAAATTCAATATATATTGATATATATACTTTATGTTAATGCCTATTATCATTGTTGACATTTAATTGTAAATGTATGACGGGCGAAGGCTGTGATAAATTATAAAAACGTGTGCCCCATCCCATGTTCAATTTAATTGGCAACAAATATGTTTAAAGCTAATTAAATTCAAATTCTGAATATTGGCAAGTGTGCAATTAACTTCTGATGATGAATAACTACTGTTCGATAAGTTTTAATACGGACTTAGAAATCATATAACTTGGCTTCATAGTGCGTTTAGAAGTTGCAGTTGCCTGACGTCCCTCTCCGCGGGCCCCTTTGGAAACCGTTTCATTTTGTCGAGACCGCTTGCGTTTACTGCCTAGTCAGGTGACGTTATCGGCGCTATTTTTAGCAGGGCTTTCCCGAACAATTCAAGTGGTCAAACTGGACATTTGGAACGGACTATGAATATGGGGATAGCGAGGTTACATAAATGGAAGTGTATACAATATATACATTCATTACACAAAATAAGGCTCTTCACGTGATGTCCCTTTAAAGCTTTTGTGAAAGTAATTGGATGTGTTATGACAAATTTGCCTTACTGTAGGTAAATGTCAAGTTTGTTTAGCTTACCAATAGGAGTCTTTTTCAATTAATGTTGCCAAAAAATGAATGTAAAACACACTCATTTGAAAACAAATCTTATCAATAACTCCTTATAGGATACGTGTATGTGTGCTTTAATCACGTGCACGAATACCAAGAATGATTTTAACATTCTATTTAATTACATAGATTTGAATATCTTGGCTGACATATGAACTCGTATCCAGTAGCTCTGCAACTTATGTCGAAAATGCTGCGGAAATATCAAGTATATAAGGTTCGATTTTTTTTATTATACAATCTACATAGCTACGCTGTAGACTAGCTGATATACTGTTTAAAATCTCGTGCTTTGATATATCCAGTTATATCTAAGCAGTCCATGTTTTCCTACTCTCTCTGTGAAGATCTGAATTAGTGTGTACAGCAATGAATACCTAAAAATAAACCATATCGCAAGGATGTTATTTTGATATTACAGTATTGTCATTCCTTTTGTTTGTATTGGTGTTTGATTGAACAATAACACGTCAAGTGTGCTAAAAGTCCTTATTATAGCATTCAGATATTGAAATCTGTTAATTTTACAGAATTTGCACTTATATATATTTTGCTCTATTATTAAAAAAGCATGGAACTTTCTAATGTGGGTAAACAGGGCCTAAACGTTACGCGTCAGCAACTGACCTTGTGAAGGTCATGGTACATGATGTTTTATTATGTTTTAAAAAGAAATTTAATTCTGATAAAATAATTTGGTCCTCTTACCTAAGGATGCACGTCCCACTGTACTGTGGCATTTCCTATATGCAGGAACCCCTGTGCGGTGTCTGGCAACGGAACACGGATACTTTATCGTTTGTGTAATAAGACCATTATTTGCTTGAAAAGTTGACATTTTCAAGTTACGAGTGTTCGATTGCTGTAAAACGATATTTGATGATCGAATTTAACATTTTTGAATCTCGAATGTACAAATGAATTATACATGACATTTTCAAAATACCGTTTTTAACCAAGAACACAATTAGAACGGATGGTAAAAGTGTTGTATACCGAATTATACTTCAATGGTGATACATCATAGGATGATGCAGAAATATGTTTGTTTTGTTTTCAGAAAACTACTTTCAGACTTATATTCAATTGTGCGACCCCCATGCTGTCATTAGGTTAATCAATTATCTGAATAATTAGTAGAGTGATTCAAAGTAAAAAACCCATATGTATACGCTATTGAAAGTAGGTAATACAGTTGAAGATATCTCGTAACACTTCTGAAACGAAGGTTATGAGTGGCAAACTTGTTCATTTGTATGTGTGGTCGGTGCATATTCGAACTCTTGGGAACTTTTCTTATGTGTTCAAGTGTTTTATATTTATGAATACATTTATTTCCTTGATAGTGCGGAATGTAACAACGATTGATTGCAGTTTCTCTTTCGAAACATTCATTAGTTTCTACGATCTTTCGATTATTCAGACAGTTCTTTGTCATCTTGCATACATTCGTGTCTTGCCTCTTTGATTCCCAACACGTTCATCTGAACATGCGACGGGTTCAATACCAGCACCTTATGAATCTTACATTATTTAAAGGAAGCCGTAAAACACCTTTAACCCATCTTAACCCTATTTGAGCAATCTTGAATGCCGTTCATTCGAGCGTGGTACTGGACAAATGTCATCATTGTTGACCTCTTTGATATTAAGAAGGCGTCATTACACATTTTAACACATTTGATCCCGATACCGTGTATGTAGCTGGAGGGCATTCAACCATACAAAAGGTATTGTTTTCAAGTATGCTCCTGGTCGAATATTTCCATCCTAGGACCCTTGGTAATTCAAAAGAAGTTATTTTAATGATTTCACTCATTTTAGCTCTGTAACATGGATGGAACTTGTCAATTCAAATAAACTTGATAACCTTTCATCCTACCATTCTGATTGCCTAACATTATAACCAGGCAAGTCGCATATACTCTCCTTAAGAAAACGGAATTGAAATAGTTTGGGAAACCGATTCATGTTAAGGTTGGACTGTAAATAACTTCACAAATTGATCATTTGTTTGGTAACAAATCAGTAGAAATACTAGGTCTGCTAATTAACCATGCATAGTCAATTGGAGATCTAAACGTAACACATGGATTTGTATTATATGTACGGTTATCTTACGTCATCTTGCACATTACAGAAAATATCAATAATTCAGAGTATTAGTATGCATGCTATCCTACCCCTCCCCTACAACAGCAAAGCATGTTACTGTTTTAGGCTACATACAATATGTATAATTCAATTGTGTGGTAAATGTTTTATAAATGTTGATCATCCTTATATGTACCAAAAGTTTTAAAAAACACATAGCATAATCTACAATTGCATCAGGTTTCACATTTTTATTTGTATTTATCTGTGTTACCTTGTCTAAAGTTATATACTCATGTTTCTAATATTTCACTATTGACATATATCTTTACAATGCCCAAAAAATTGACAGCATGCAGACATTTATTTGTCAAAATATACTTATACTTATATATGATGCAAAAAATTAATAAAAACACAAATAAGTCACTAATTATAAGTCAGTGTCATTTTTTTCACGAGACATATGCATTGTTTATAGCTTATAGCGAGTACAGGTAATGGTGGTTTGTAAAACAGGTATATAATATATCTATATAATTTAATGACCAGGAGTACTTGTTATGTATAAAGAGGTCACTGATCAAAAATAATATTACATATAATGTGGGCATTCACCCTGTATGCCCACTACTATATACCCGTATACAAAAGGATATTACAGGTTGTGTGTACACACAGTAACATAAGGGGTGTATGTATACGGGTTTCACATTTTTATTTGTATTTATCTGTGTTAC